TAACGTCCAGAGCTTAGTAGAAAAAGTCCTAGTGCGAGTACAGCAGCACCACTAGCACCCAGGGGGATGCTATTGGCTATTGCTATGCTCCGCACCAATAGCATTGGTTCATTCAACTTCATTGTTTATTCATTCATTATTTGATTATATTGATTGATTAATGAAGGGGAGGAGGAGGAATTGAGGGTGATGATGAGGTGGCCAGATGGAGGAGGGAGATAGCATTGGGGTAACCTTGTGCCCCCGTCCTGCTCTGCCTTTTCTGATCTACCTGTTCCCATTCTGACTTCTTTCTTCAGTTGAAATTGCTGTCATAGCCTCAAATTTGAGGTTTGCATCATGAATGTTGTTGGGCAAGGTACCCGCGCACACTGATTGCACAGCTACCGTTTTCACCCGAGTAGAGCGCACAGCCATTATTCCTGTACCTAGACTGAAAGTTGCCCAAATACAACCACAATGACCGTGCATTCTATTCAAAGTCCAACCTGGCTGAGTAGGCCGCATCCTCTCAGGGCATACTCACACCAGGACTCGACTGATTTACTCACACCAGGACTCTACTGATTTTATCTGACAGCAATTACGGCCATGCCTGGATGCATCTGATGGCAATCAGGTCCAGAGCTCAGTCCATAAAGTCCTGGTGTGAGTATGCCCTCAGATTACTTACTAGATGATCTAATTGCTTCACTCGAGAGGATTAGTTCTATGAAAATACATCAAGGCATAGCCAACTCTCACAACGCCTTGGGTCCCTATATAGACTTCCAAGTCGTAGTGGTAGGTAGATAGAAAAGGCCAATTCGAGAAAGAGGGGGGGGAAAGGGGAATCTCAAGACCATCGCCATTTCATAAGAAAGGAAAAATTAAAGAAAAAAAATGCACCTGGCCATAAGTGCAGATTCCTAATTGAGCCCACAACCTCCTGAAGGCTACTTGTGTGCCTTTTTTTTTTTTTAATATAAACTAAGTTATATTCTTCTCTCAATTTCACCTTTCATTATCTACCTACCACTACTCCTAAGCCTATACAGGGGACCCCTGCAAGCATAGCTACCTCTCACAATTAAGGGATGTATGTCGGGCCCCCTCGCCCTAATTAGCGGTGGTCAGGGAGTAGGGTGGGGCGGGGGTCATGGAGTAGGGTGGAGGCCCCAATGGGGGGTGCCGGCTAATGCAAAGACCAAGCATTTTGCCCGTAGCTGCGCCTCCCATCTACTTCCCCCACCCCCCATCGAGTAGCAGCACTGGCTATGGCCAACACTCTCCTACACACCACACACAACCCACTCATGCTCACACTCACACCCGTGTTGGTCATAGACCCTACTGATACTGATCAGGGTTATCAACCGTATCACGCGGACTATCACAGTTGGTTGGCATTAAGTGTGCTGCAGGCGGTCATGGGGCTCGAACCCACAGCCTCCTGAATGCCACTTGTGTGCCTACCCAACTGAGCTAGGCCACTGGATATTTTTCCTTTTTTACTTCATGACCAGGGAGTTCTGCTTAACTGGGAGATATGAGCATCCCCTTTGCGCAGGTCTCCGTGTTGTTGAAGGCTCCATCTATTGGTGGGGAGCAGCACCTGCTGGAAATCAGGTCCAGAGTCCCTGTACAAGCAATAGTTCTACTTGTGTGGCTCACCATGAGCTGTAGGCTGCTGACCGCCAAGTTGTCCACTCTGAGCCACATATAGTCTTATTTGGGAAAGACGGGGTTAGGCCCTAACACTGTTTATATTCATCTGGTTCTTTTTTTGTCCTCCCTTTTACAAGTCACTCTCTTTCCTTTCCTCCTTTCTTTCTCCCTTCTTCTTCCTTTTTTTTCTTTGTTTCCCTTCTTCTCCATTCCTCCATTCTGTTTTTCCTCTTCCTTTTCTCCTTTCTTCGACGGCCATATCATCATTTAACTGACTGGCCCCAGATATTAATTCAGAACATACTCGCAAGCGGACGGACGAGCGTCCGGTCCCGTCCGCTTTGACACGTGCGGTGCCCTCCCCCCGACCGGACCGGACCGGATGGGGCCGGTTTTTTTTTTTGGGGGGGGGGGGGGATGGGGGTTAATTGGTCGTCGGCGGATCCGGGTCCAGTCCGGCGGTCGGCCGTACGTGCGGAACCGCCCGGACGGCGTCCGCTTGCAAGTATAATTCAGAATGATTTTGTTCTGTTCAACTGACTGCATCTCGATTCAAACTTGGGTCAGTAAGTCAACAGTTCATGGGTGTACCAACTGGGCTACTAGGCCCATTGGTGTTCATCTGTTTCCGGCAGGATCCGAACCGATGAGCTGCTCCCTGATATTCATCTGATTCCGTCAGGATTCGAACTGATGAGCTGTTTGCTGGCAGTTACACGTGTGTACCATATAGCCAACTGGGCTGCGTGCAACCGGCACATAGGTTGCCCCAGGTTTTTCCGGGTTGAATTGTGAGGTCCCCGGCCTCATTGCTATAATTTTCAATATGAGATCGCATTCTTTCCACAAAAAAAAAAAAAAACCACCCTCGGCAGGCTATTTATGTTGTCCTTTCCGAAAAAGGAGCGAGGCTCTAGTGCCCCCAAAAGAAGCCACGCGGCTCTACGTGCGCACACAAGCCCTGAGGTTCTAGTGGCCCCCCAAAATGTCCAAGGCTCTGCCGTAATGACCTGAGAGGGCCCATCTGAAATTGAACAGATTCTCAAACTACAGCTACCGGTCCCGAGGGTCGACCATAACACCACCAAAAGCCCCGAGGCTCTAGAGCACGGAAAAGCGCCCACTCTCTACTGCCCCCAAAAGTCCTGAGGCTTTAGGGCCCCCGGAAAAGGACTGAGGCTCAAGCCGAATCTGCGCAGCGCTAAGAGCGCAGGCTCTGGGCCCCTAAAGGGCCGATTTCCCCCAAAAGGGCGAAGGCTCAAGCCCAATCTGCCTAGCACTAAGGGCGCAGGAGCTCTACTGCCCCCAAAAGGGCCGACGTTCTGCGGTAGTGCCCAAGTGCCCCCGAAGGACCGCCGAGGCTTTAGTTCTCCCAAAAAAGCGAAGGCTCAAGTCCAATCTACGCCGCGTCTTCCCGAGAAAAACGGCGGACAAAAAAAAAAACAAAAAAAAAACGGCTGACCCGCTACAACTGGTCAAATGGTCATACGACCATGTTTGACCAGTTGTGGCAGAGTTTGACCATCTTTGACCGGGAGTCCGATGATGTTAACGAACTCCACAGTATTTTTTTCATCTTTTATTTTCTTTTATTTTTTTTTTGTTCACAGTATTTTGCACCTTGCTTCTCCCATCCCGCGGGTACATCGTGATAAACGCGAAGGACAGGACTACCATCTTCCCCGAATAGAACGCACTGTCACTATAGCCGTATTGGGGCACGTACGGTGTACATAGAGCAATAATGACCGCGCGTTCTATTCGAAGGAAGACAGAATCCCGCTTAGGGATACCAAGGCCGCACTGGTGCTATGCTCGCGGTTTCGCACAGGCTAGAACCTGGTCAGAATAACGTTCAGGTTCCTTGAACTTCCTCCTCCCATCCCGCGGGTACATCGTGATAAACGCGCAGGACAGGACTACCATCTTCCCCCGAATAGAACGCACGGTCACTATAGCCGTATTGGGGCACCTTTGGGTGTACATAGAGCAATAATGACCGCGCGTTATATTCGAAGGAAGACAGAATCCCCCTTAGGGATATCAAGGCCGCACTGGTGCTATGCTCGCGGTTTCGCATAGGCACGAATCTGGTCAGAATAGCGTTCAGGTTCCTTTCTTTCTTAGCACTAACAAACATGCGGGCTGCTCTCCTACCAGCACTTCTCCTCCGAGAAGGCGTCACCCGTATAGAACGGCAAGCTACCGGTAGCAAAGCGCCTTGTAGGATCGACGACCGGATAGAAGGACACCCCGAAACCGCCTTCTCCCGCATAGAATGGCTAGCTACCGGTAGATCAAAGCGTCTAGTAGGATCAATGACCGGACGGACACCGCAACAATTTACGGACAGAGACCATCCTCACGCCGAATATCCTCAACGTATATGACCGTAAAGATGGTCCGATTCAATAGCAGAAGAGTCCTAACGTGCGCATCGATGCCTATCCGAGGTTGTGAATCTATGTACTTACTAAGACCAAAACAAATACAAAGTCCTTCGGGACATCCGTTAAAATTGGAACGATACAGAGAAAGAGAAGATTAGCATGGCCCCTGCGCAAGGATGACACGCATAAATCGAGAAATGGTCCAAATTTAAATAAAAATAAAAATAAAAATAAAAAAGACAGCCATGGTTGTGGACGAACGTGAAGATTAAGGGGGCAAAGAAAGAGGAACGTATCCATCCACGTCATTGGTAGGCTCGTGTAAGTCGTAACTCGTCAACGGATCAGGAGTTCTAATCCGGGGCTAGGTCCCACTTACACGAATTAAGAGCTATTGACCGAAGATAACACAGATCAACGGTCAGAATCTCTTAATCCGTGCAAGTGGGACACTGCCCCCGGATGGAATGCAAACCGAGGTTGTAGACGAGTGTGGGAAAAGAACAAGAAGAAGATGGTAAGCAATGGCCAAATTGCTCTTCACACGCATTCCAAAAAAAGTCGTTTCTTACATACGTGTATATCGCTCAAACGCGCACGCTTTCCTCTACATGTTTCAACCGGGTGCGCCCCGGTCTCATCAGGAGGCTTTCCGCTTATCCCTCTGCCTATCGGCCCACCTCACTTTACCACCCACTGCCC